CTCGGCCACTCCTGCCACCTCCACCACCGCTAGGGTCCCCGGCCCCAGCCAGCTCCCACAGGTGCAAACAGCCGGCTCAGACCCTTTCCCTTCTGCAGGCCTCCTCCCTTCCAGCCACGCCCCAGACTGTGTGCGTCCTCAGAGACGCAGGCTCACACCCACTGCGATGACGACTGTCTCAAACTTCTCAGTCCTGGGGCTTTGCAAATTATCTCTGTCCCCAAAGAGTGCGCCTCTGTTGCACACGCATTGCCACGGCTGGGCCCCAGGAAGCTGTTCTTCCCGCCTGGATCTTAATTTTCCCCTTTTCCCGTGTGCACACAGAGAGAGCAGGGCTCTCTCTCTCTCTCTCTCTCTCTCTCTCTGCTTTTGGAGCGGTAACTGCGAGCGTATCGTCCTCATGGATAAACAAAGTTTGAGTGGGTAAATAATGGGGTATGCTCTAAAAAACCCCACTCGTTCACCTTCACCTCAACCTTGTGTGTGAGAGAGGAACTTTTCCTCTACCCCACCTAGGGGAGAGGTGTGGCTGGGAAAGGCTGAGCTCCACTTCCCAGGTATGTAGACATCTGCTAGGAAGGAACCTTAACCAGTCCCAGGTACAATTGCGGCTACCGTGGGACTCCCGGCCGCACCGAGCCCAGGGAAGCAGTGGAGGGCCAGCAGCCCCGGCCTTGCTGATGGTGGGTCTCAGGGCTCACGGTGCTTCGCCGGCTGGAAACTGCCCAGTGCTGTGCAGGCTGTGTCCCCAAGGTTTGAGCTTCTGCAGCCATGTTTTTACAAAAGTGAAGGTCCTCGGGCCTGTGCTCTGGGTGGAGAGGCCCAGGCGCGGCCCTGCTCCCGGCTCTCCCTGTGAGTCCTGCCTGGGACACAGCAGATCCCCGCGGCTAGACGCCAGAGGGCCAAGGTAGAAGGAGTGCAGATTGCTTTTGCATGAGCCAGGCCTTCGGTCTTTCCACTGGGTCAGGCGCCTGAGAAGTGAAAAGAGATCTTGGGCCCTGCAGCCCGGAACAAACCGGTAAGCGCCCTGGGGCTTGGGGTCCACCGATGCCCCCTCTCCCACCTAGTGGTGAGCTGCTCTGCTGGTCAGAAGCAGACTGACAAGAGTTTTGAGAACGAGCTGGCAGGTAACCACGGGGTACACGCGCAGCCCCCAGTCCAGCCAGAAGGGACGTTGATGAAAGGGTGGGGCAGGAGGTGCTGGGAGGCACCCTTTGGCCTGTCCTACCTCTCAGCCTCTCACTGTGGGCTCCCACATAGGGTTGGAACCCTTATTCTGGATTCTGTGAGTCTGGAAACAAGGGCCATCTTCCCTCCCTTCTGGGTCTCAGTTTCCCTATCTGTAAAATCAAGAGGTGGACTTTAGGTGAAAGCTCTCCGTTCTCCTGCCGATTCTAGATTAGGGGCGGCAGTAACAGTCGCGCAGTAGCAGCCTGTGTCTCTAGTAAATAGCCCCCGCCTCCCAGGCAGCCGGGGATCGGGAGGGTTGGAGGCGGGGCCTCTCCCTGTCCGGCTGGCGGCCTGGAGTCCGCGCTCCGATCTAGTAGAACCCCGCCAGCCACCCACCTTTCCTCCTCTAGCCCCCCTGCCATTGGCTCCAGGGAGAGCTTGACATCAAAGCCGCAGCCTTATATAAGCCAGATCCAGGAGGGGCATCTGCAGAAGGGTTAAACGGGTCTTTGGACGCCGGAGTCCTGGCCGCCGCCGTGCCACCTTCCATCCCGCCCAGGACTCCCCTAGAGCCGGCGCCCAGCACCACGCGGCCGGGAGCCCACAGGTGGCCCCGTAGTCTGCGGGAGCGCATGGGGCGGCACTAATCGGGCTGGTGGCGCAGGCCAGGAGCCTCTCCAACATGAACCTCGTGGGCAGCTACGCACACCACCACCATCACCCACACCCCACGCACCCCATGCTCCACGAGCCCTTCCTCTTTGGCCCGGCCTCCCGCTGCCACCAGGAGCGGCCCTACTTCCAGAGCTGGCTGCTGAGCCCAGCTGACGCTGCCCCGGACTTCCCTGCAGGAGGGCCTCCGCCCGCAGCCGCTGTGGCCGCTGCCTACGGTTCCGATGCCAGGCCCGGCCAGAGCCCAGGGCGGCTGGAGGCGCTGGGCGGCCGCCTGGGCCGGCGGAAAGGCTCAGGACCCAAGAAGGAGCGCAGACGCACGGAGAGCATCAACAGCGCGTTCGCCGAGCTGCGGGAGTGCATCCCCAACGTGCCGGCGGACACCAAGCTCTCCAAGATCAAGACCCTGCGCCTGGCCACCAGCTACATCGCCTACCTGATGGACGTGCTGGCCAAGGACGCGCAGGCTGGTGACCCCGAGGCCTTCAAGGCGGAACTCAAGAAGGCAGATGGGGGCCGCGAGAGCAAGCGGAAAAGGGAGCTGGTGAGTCGGCCTGTGAGCCACAGCCGGGTGTGGGCAGCTTTGAAAGGGTACAGGGAGATGGAAAGAGGGCCAAAGAGTGAGACTGCGTGCAGAGGGAGGTGGGTTCATGACTGAACTCGCCTTGACTTGAGGTGCTTGTAAGGCCCAGAGAACAGATTCAGACCTTTTGGGAGAGAGTTTGGGCTCTCTTTAAGAACTCATGGAGCACCTTGGATTCTGAGGAGGTGCATAGTTTTCTTCCGAGGTGGAGGCGTCCTGAGTCATCCCCGGAAGCCAGATTAAGCTTGCAGCGGGTGTCTGTTACTTTGGTTTGCTGGGATGTAAACCGAAGAGTGCAGGGCCCATTTCTGCATTCAAAGGGCCTTTGTGGGAGAAGGCAATATAGTTTAACTTCGTTACTGCACAGGTAGGAGATGGAGGCCCTGGGTGGGACAAAGCAAAGCACCCCTACCTGAGGAGTAAGGCGTGGAGCCGGGTCTTCAGTGCCGCATTAGGCTGAGTTGGTGGGCAACCCAGTGGTTTTGTGTGTGAACAAGGGAGAGCTTCTTCCGGCTTTGGGGTCCCTACAGGGCCATTTGGGGTCCTCTCCAGTTGTGGGGAAAGTAACCTAGTGCTCTGGGCGGCAGGACCTGGGGCGCTGTGATTTCAGGGCTGGTGGCCCCACTGCACCTATGATAAACTGCAGCAAGCTCACCTGAGGATGAGGAGAAAGAAGGGTAGGCCTTGGGTCTCCAAGCCACTGCCCTGGGCTCGGGAGCGCCTCCTTGAAAGTAACTGGGGGGTGGACCCGAGACCCCTCTCCGACTAGGGCAACCACAGGGCTGCTGCGCCCAGAGCCCAGATCGGGGAAAGAGGGCAAAGGTGCGGGCCAGGCCCATGCCTTCCTCTTTTGCTCAGTCAGCTGAGGTTTCCAGCAGGTAGAGGGAACAGGTCTGAAAGCAGGGAAACAGCTGATTTCTACCATCCCAGCTTCCAGCTCCCTGCGGTCCCTCTTAGAGGCCCAAAAACCAAACCTGCACGCACTGGTTTCACCAGATGGAGAAAATCCTTGTTGCCAATCCCACATCCCAGGACCTTGGCACGTGAAGGCAAATTTATCAGCCTGTTTGCCTATTTCACAAACAGAAACCTGTCACTTATTTAAAGACTAGAAGTCACTGATTCCCACACCTCCCCAGCCCCAAGCCGGTGACCGGAGCAGACCGATCTAAACCTGTACTCTCTCGCCTCTTTTCGTGTGTGTGTGTGTGTGTGTGTGTGTGTGTGTGCGTGTGCGCGTGTGCATGCATGTGTTCCTGTGTGTGTGTGTTTGTGTGTCCTCTGGCAGCCTCCGCACGAAGGCTTTCCTTCTGCCCTGGCCCCTGGCGAGAAGAGGATTAAGGGCCGCACCGGCTGGCCGCAGCAGGTCTGGGCGCTGGAGCTGAACCAGTGAGCCACGCCTGGCCGGAGGACCGGGCCCCATTGGCGACCGAGCCCCAGACAAGCGAGGACGCCACGCAGCCTCCGCCGTGGCCGCAACCACACACTTGGATCGCACGTGCAATGTCCTTTGAAATTGTTTTAAAATACAATAAGAGAAAGAGAAATTTATATATATCTATCTATATATATATCTATATATCTCCACTCCTCTAAAACTAAGAGCGACTCTTGGGGGACAGCGCAGACCGGGAGGACTGCGGGGTGGGGGGCCGCGCCCCTTCCATGAGGCTCCCGACCCTGCTGCACCGAATCCGGAGCCCTGCCCCCTCTGCTCCCCTCCCGGGGCGCCAGGACCCCAGACGCCCTGGAGAACTGAGATGCAGTGAGAGGAACAGATAGTTTTCCACCAGGGAAAGAGAACCAAAGGCTGGCAGACGGAGGGCTGTGTTGCTCCCTTTAAAGCCGCAGGGTTTTACTTCGGTCGCTGCGCTCCCTACCTGGGTTCCTCCCTCTCTCCCTCTCCTTCCTCCCTCCCTCCCTCTCCTTCCTTCCTCCTAAATAAATCTTTCCCCGTCGTCGCAGTTTTTGTACATTTAAACTACCTACCAAGCCTGTTGCGCAGGTGTGTCCCCAGCCCCACCCTTGTCTACCTCAGACGTGTAAAGACCACCCAGCCCGCCCTTCGCCAGGCAGTATCTGTGCTCCTGACTAATAAAACTTTCCTGTACCCCGAGAGCCTGTGTGATGTCTTGGCCTGGGCCTCGGGCCCCGCGGATGCTGCCAGGTGAAGCCGAAGTCCCGCTATTCTTCCGTCGCGAAATACCTAACTGTCCGTCCCGAGAACGAGTCGGGAGAGCGGAAAGGGGCCGATCGCACCCACCTGTGCGGCTTTCGGAAGTCTGAGCGGCCGGGCGCGGGGCGCGGATTTGTGTGTCCTCTGGCAGCCTCCGCACGAAGGCTTTCCTTCTGCCCTGGCCCCTGGCGAGAAGAGGATTAAGGGCCGCACCGGCTGGCCGCAGCAGGTCTGGGCGCTGGAGCTGAACCAGTGAGCCACGCCTGGCCGGAGGACCGGGCCCCATTGGCGACCGAGCCCCAGACAAGCGAGGACGCCACGCAGCCTCCGCCGTGGCCGCAACCACACACTTGGATCGCACGTGCAATGTCCTTTGAAATTGTTTTAAAATACAATAAGAGAAAGAGAAATTTATATATATCTATCTATATATATATCTATATATCTCCACTCCTCTAAAACTAAGAGCGACTCTTGGGGGACAGCGCAGACCGGGAGGACTGCGGGGTGGGGGGCCGCGCCCCTTCCATGAGGCTCCCGACCCTGCTGCACCGAATCCGGAGCCCTGCCCCCTCTGCTCCCCTCCCGGGGCGCCAGGACCCCAGACGCCCTGGAGAACTGAGATGCAGAGTCTCCTCCGCTGCAGCCCCTAACTTTTTTCTTTTCTCCCCTCTCGCCACCCGCCGCCAGATCAAACAGGCCGGCGGTTTTAACTAGGGCAACACCTCGCCTTAATGAGCCGGCCGGCGCGCCCCTCCCCCGGCCTCCGCCGGGCCCCAGGCCCCAAGGCCCCTGGGGAGGAGGAGAAAGAAAAACCCCGGGCTCTTTAGCGTTTTAACTTCCAGGAGCTGAGAAACCTTTGGTAAAAGGAGAGCAGGCTTGGGGAAGCAGCTCCAGGAGCAAGCTGACTGAGGACCCAGGGCAGGAAAGGCTAGATTTGAACCCAGAACTCCAGTGCGGTGCAGACACAAAGCTCCGGCCATACACAGGGTGCAGCTCACGCTATTTTTAGCACGATGAAGTACCCTAGGTATGGGAGGAATGCGCACCCTCGTCCTTTTTTCCTATGGCCAGGAAAAGGAGAGAAGGTACTTACCGGGATATAACCAGGCCTCTTTAGAAAACCCCATCCAGCTGGTCCCAAACCCTCTTGGGCACGGAGGGGGCAGATCCGCCAGTTCAGTCCCCATGGAGTCTCGTCCCGGCCTCATACCCGGAATCTAAGTGCTGAGTTGCCCTGTGCGGGGGTCGCCGGGTGCCGACCCCCCTTCCTGAGTCGCGCGTCCCAGCGCCCGGTCTTGCGGGAGAAGCCG